CTTTTGTAAACACACACATGCACACACACTGACACACACACACACACACACACATATATATTCAAGTTTATAATATATGCATGATAGAAAATTATCATGCATTTGTTATATACTTTATATATATATATATATATATATATATATATATATATATATATATATATATATATATAATGAAACGATATATAATTTTGGATAATTTATATATCAAAAACAGTATTTAGAATTTTCTTTCAAATATTTCGAAACTAACTAAGTATATATATATATATATATATATATATATGGGGCGGGGTTACAAACAAACCGAAACCCACCAAGTATAATACCCCCATACTCAATAACATTTACTATGAACATAGCCCAATGGTACTGGACGTGATTGGAAAATAAAAGGTACCTACTTCAAATACATACATAAAAAATACGCATTCTCTTAAAAATAAAAAAATAAAAATCGATATGATTATGCCTAAAAGAATAGCCGATTTTAATTCATGTTCTTTTTTTTGTTCTTGCACTTTAATAAGATTTGTTTTTAATATTCTTTCACACACTGTAGAAATCTCTTGGGCTTAGTGTCTTTATTACCTTGTTGGTGGTGAAATGAACTATAAATTTAGAAAGTAAAAATTTCATCCGAAATAAAAACAATATGTCTTTATGCTTGAACAGCTTTTAAAATATTCCTCACATTATACGCACATAAGTGAATGTAATGTAATCGACTGTAATTCGAACTCGGCACCAAGATACCCCAATTCAGGCTCCTATCCATTATACAACCGACCTTCCTTGCAATTGCTAAATTTCTCAAAGGTAAGTTTTTTTATCTATATTTCTAAGATGAGGTATTATGTACACTATTTACATTATTCGGACTATTGTCCTCATATTTGTCGCCATATTTATCACAACATTTCGGCCTTTCAGTATCTGTCTATATTTCTGAGATGAGGTATTATGTACACTATTTACATTATTCAGACTATTGTCCTCATCTTTGTCGCCATATTTGTTACAACGTTTAGGCCTTTCAGTATCTGTCTATATTTATGAGATGAGATATTATGTACATTATTTACATTATTCGGACTATTGTCCTCATCTTTGTTGGCATATTTATTACAACGTTTAGGCCTTTCAGTATCTGTCTATATTTCTGAGATGCGGTATTATGTACACTATTTACATTATTCGGACTATTGTCCTCATCTTTGTTGCCATATTTATTACAACGTTTCAGCCTTTCAATATCTGTCTATATTTCTGGGATGAGGTATTATGTACACTATTTACATTATTCGGACTATTGTCCTCATCTTGTGGCCATATTTATTACAACGTTTCAGCCGTTGTACGCTCCAGCATTCTCAAGGACACACGGCAGATTAGATAAAGGCGTTAGTTAGATCCAGTGACAGGAGCCAAAGAATGTGAGTTCAATACCCTGTTAAGGCAGTGGAGAGCTTTTAGACGGAAATAAACAAGATTTAACTGATAACTGACATCCATTAGACATGGCACATGGAACTAGAACAATCTACCCAGTGAATGAAATAATTTGTTCAGTTCGACAATGCAACCACCTGAAGAAGGCCAGAGCGTACAACGGCCGAAATATTGTAATAAATATGGCGACAAAGATGAGGACCATAGTCTGGATAATTCAAATACTGTAAGTTTTTTGGGTTTTTTTATCCCCTGTTTACTTTCGTATCATTCTTCCTTCTTAAGGTTTTAGCTCTTGTCTGTTTCGGAATCTGTTTTTACCTCCGTTTTG